ACAGTAAGTAGCTCTGATTCATCTCAGTTCTCTACCTTTGACTTCTGATTCTAAAATTCACTTTTCCCAGTCCCGGCAGTCAGCCCGTTCTGTGAGGGAGCAGCCATTTTCTTCATTCGTTCTTCAATACTTTCAGGAAACATGTATTGAGCCTCTACAATATGCCAGGCTTTCCTTTATGTTAAGGAAACAGCAGTGAACAAAACAATGTCCTTGTCTCCCCCCACCTAATGAAACTTACAAAAAATTTCAAATTACACAGGAAAATACTTGTGATCGAATATTGGGTTAAAAAGACAAAATTATATATTTAGTCTGAACTAAATTACATACTAAAACAGATGTATATAGGAAAATACTTAAAATAAAACATATAAGTATATACAATATGGTGCTTTTGTACAGGAATATCTTATTATCATAGATAACATTATACTTGTATATATTATTCAAATTTACTACAGTAGGAAGCTAATAGTAATAATATATTTTTATATTTTAACTTCAGGGCTTAAAAATATAACTATATTACTAACATCTCCAGTAACATTGGCTTGTTCATAATAGTTCTGTGGTTTAACATTCTCAACTAGAAAGTGCCTTACCCTAACCTTTTGACTCAGGAGTTAGCAAACTGTTCCTTAAACAGTCAGAAAATAAATATTTTAGGCTTTGAGGGCCATCTAGTCTCTGTCACTAACACTCAATGCTGCTGCTGTTCTACAAAATCACTCAGAGATAAATAAGTGGAGCTGTATTCCAATGAAATTTTTATTTTTAAAAGCAGGTGGTGGGCTGAATTTGGCCCAAGAGGCATAGTTCATCAACCTTAACCCCTGCTTTAACTTCATGACAACTAATATAAAGTTCTTTTTACTTCTACTGTTCGATCTCCATTTTAAGAGAGATTTTTAGTATAGGACATGGGTGCTCACTGGAGCAACAGACACAGAGAGACAGAAAGTGAAAAATCACCCTCTGGGGGAATGGCCACAATCTCATCTTCTCCATTCTCCTCTTGGGATTTTGGACATGCATGCACACACGCCTGGGGTGAGTTTCAAGTCACCAGATTCAGGACTCAAACCTCAGCCAGCCATGTGGGAGTCCAACAATATAACCATTATACCATCTGATGGTCCCTTGATTTCCTCTTTGTAACATCCCTGAGAGAGATTATTAGACCCATCTTACAGAGAACAAGGCTGAAATTTAAAGAGGGGAAGTGTTCTACCCAAGATCACACAGTTAATAGACTAAATCATTAAATCCAGTTCCCAAGGGAGATGCCAAAATATCCTGTTGCCTGAAAAGTTGTACAAATATAAATGTTAATCTTAAAATGTTTTAGGGAAATCTATCCCTTAGAAGAATTTTACCCTGAATAATTTTGAAAAATAACCCCCAAAAAACACTCTTTATCTTTTATGAAAATATCTGTCTTCATGTATTAGATACAGAATGACAGAGTTAAAGGCCTCAATGGAGATTTAAAGGGTTATGTTATCATTGCTTTTAAATGAGAGGCAAGGGGACTGGAAGACATGTTTCCTTATCCTTCTTAACCCCTCAGAGGCTTAGCACTACAGGGTATGAAAATTTCTAGGAGCTCTGTATGTACAAACTATGAAGGCTGCATTGAGGATTTCTAGAAGCTCTGTACCTATAAACCATGGAGGCTACATGGGCTCAGGCCTGCCTCGAGAGGCATGTGGCCACATGTAGCTAAGGACTTACCAATGTTAATCTCATCATCAGTCAAAGTGTCTCCAATAAAATCAAACTGAAAGGACTGCAGCGTCTGGGAGAATTTCTGAACAGCAGAAGAGTAATCTGCAAGGGGAAGGAGAAATAGTCAATACTACTATCCTTTTACCAATTTTCTCATCTCTGTTAGTGTTTTTGTAGAACAACAGCAGCATTAAGTGGTAGTGACAGAGACTAGATGGCACTCAAAGCCTCTGTTAGAACAGAGATGAGAAAAGCAAAGGGAAATACTCTCAGCAGATAGTGATTGGCATTTAATAACGTTAAAGGAGAGGGACCAGCAGTTAGCATAATGGCTATGTCGCTGGACTCCCACGTGGAGAAATCACCCCCCCGGGGGGATGGTCATGCCGAAATCCCTTCTCCTCCATTCTCCTCTTGGGATCTTGGGCACGCACGCACACACTCGCAGCGTGAGTTTTAAGCCACTGGGTCTTGGGACATGAACCACAGTCGACTACACGGGTGTCCAGCAACATAGCCATTATGCTAACTGCTGGTTCTCTGATATTTTTTATAATAATATGCATGATTAAGTCACTATGCAGTATATTCTGGATGGGAAATCACATTTTGTATGCTGTGATGATGTTTAGGGAAATAATGTAAATTAAGTTAGAAAAAAAGGTTTCAGAAAAAAATATGTATTCGATGACTTCAGTAAGATATCTAGCCCCAGCTAGGTGCTACTTTATAGGATGTCTAAAGTTAGACTTTTGTTCATGGAAACGTATATATCAGCTGTGTTTGCTATGAAAATACTTAGATTAATTAAGATCTTTAGCATTTCAATCAAATGTGGGGGAAAAACAGTATAGAAAGCAAACATAGATACCAGAGACAGTGGCGAAGTTGAGTGGGAAATGGCAGAGGGCAAGAGATAGGGAATCAAGGATGGGAGGGGGAAAAAAGAAAAGATACAGAAAACCAAATTATGTTTATCGATATGCTTGATTGAGACAATATACAGTGTACTCTGGATGGAAAATCTCATTTTGTATGCTGTAATGATGTACAGTGATTGAATGCAAATAAATAAATTTAAATAAAATTTTAAAAAAGAAGGAAGTTTACAGCAATTAGTATGCATAAGAAAAACATGGACAGAAAAAGATGATAGATGATAACAGATATCAGAGAACTGAAAAAAAAAATCCAGGAGAAAAAAAGAATAAAGATTTGAGGAGAAATAAATGAAATAGAGAATAAATTATCTATACAGAAAATAAATGAAACCAAAAGCAAGTTCTTTAAGAAGATAAACAAAATTGATACACTGTTAGCTAGACTAATTAAGGAGACAAGAGAAAGGAACTGGATAAAACACATTCCCAAGGATACAGGCAATATTACAACAGGTGTAACAGAAATACAAAAGATTACTAAGAATACCATGAGTCACTATACACCAACAAACAAGAAAACGTGGATGAGATGAAAAAAATCCTGGATACACATAATCTAACAAAACTGAATCAGAAAGATATAGAAAGCTTGAATAGACCATAACAAACAATGAAATTGAATCAGTGATGGAACCAGCAGATGGCATAATGGTTACATCGCTGGACTCCCACATCGCCAACTGCAGCTTGAGTCCCAAACTTGGCAGCTTGAAATACATGTCATGTGCATCTGCATGCATACCTAAAATCCCAAGAGGAATACAGAACAGACTGCAGCATGGTCATCCCCCCTTGCAGATGATTTACTTTCTATCTGTCTGCCTCTCCAATGAGTGCACATGCCCAATAACAAAAGTCTCCCCAATAACAAAAGTCTCTAAAAAAAAAAAAAAAAAGAAGAAGAAGAAGAAGAAAGAGAAGAAGGAACCAGTAGTTGGCATACAGGTTATGTGACTGGACTCCCATGTAGTCGATCGCAGTTTGAGTCCTGGACCCAGTGGCTTAAACTCACTCTGGGTGCATGTGCGTGCATGCCCAAGATCCTGAGAGGAGAATGGAGAAGGGATTGCAGTGTAGGCATCCCCCCAGGACATGATTTCTTGCTTTCTGTCTCTCTATCTCTCAGTGATAAATAACCTCCCAACAAGAAAAATCCAGGTCCCAATAATTTACTTATAAATTTTACAAAAATAATTTTAAAGGAAATATTACCCAATTCTCCTCAAACTATTTCTAAAGATCCAAAAAGAAGGAAATCTCCAAAATTCATTTTGAGAGGACTCTTACCCTCATCCTCAAAACAGACAAGGACATAACAGCAACAACAACAACAAAAATGCTACAGATCAGTATGTTTTCAGAGAGGTTTCTTCACTATAGGGCACGTGCGCTCGCCAGACAGACAGAGAGACATAGAGACAGAAAGCAATAAATCACCCCCCGGGGGGATGGTCACGCCACAATCCCTTCTCCTCCATTCTCCTCTCGGGATCTTGGGCACACACGCACACGCGCCCAGCGTGAGTTTTAAGCCACCGGGTTCGGGACGCGAACCGCGGTCGACTACGTGGGAGTCCAGCAACATAGCCATTACGCTAACTGCTGGTTCCCCAGATCAGTATGTTTGAAGAATATAGATGCCAAATCATATCCAATGATTCATTAAGCAAATTATACACCACAAAGAATAGGTTTATTCCAGGGAGACAAGGATAGTTCAACATATACAAAATCATCAATGTAATACAACTTATTAAGAGAAAGATACAAAACATATGACCATATCTATTGATGCAGAAAAAGCATTTGGTAAAATACAACATCGCTTCATGATTAAGACTCTAAACAATGTCAGCTTAGAAGGGACATATCTCAACACAATAAAACCCATATATAAAAAACCCATAGCTAACATCATATTAAATGGGGAACTTCTGAAAGCTTTTCCAATACAAAATGGAAAAAAAAAAGGCTAGCCTCTTCTAACACTCTTTTTCAATATAGCACTGGAAATCCTAGGCAATGCAGACAAGAGAACAAAATAAAAGCCATTCAAAACGGAAAAGAAGAAAGTGACATCATCTCTATTTGCAGATGACATGATTACATACATAGAAAAACCAAAAGATTCTACACACACACAAAAAAAATTAGAAGTGATAAATGAATACAATAAAGTGGCAGTATACAAATCAACATATAAAATCTGTAGCATTTCTATATACTAACAGTGAACTGACTGAGGTAGAATAGAAGAAAGAAATTTTATTTACATTAGCCACAAAAGATATAAGATACCTAGGAATAAACCAAACTAAAGAAGTCAAAGACCTCTACAATGAAAACAATGAAAAACTTAAAAAAGAAATCAAATGTAACACAAAAAAGGTGGAAGCTGATTTTGCTGAGTTCAATCCCCTGTTCTTGGACTAGAAGAATTAATATAATCATATCTATGAATACATGTCTGAATTTAGGTATGAAACTCTGAGTAGAATGAATATACTATAAGGTAGCACCTAGCTGATGCTATGTAGTTTACTAAGGTCATTAATTATGTATTTTTTACTACATTTTTTATTTCAAGAAAGGCATATTTCGCTTTAATAAATCAAAGAAATGCTAAGGAAATATGCTTAAGACTTAAAGTTAGGAAACAGGTTGGGATTCTGTTCAAATAGTAGGTACATAAACCTATTGGCAGCTCAAAACAAGACAAAAATCCTTAATGCCGGAGAACAAAGCCTAGAGGAAAATCAGCAATGTTTTAGTAAAAAGTCACAAAATTCCATTTCACCAGTTCAGTCTCATGTACTTAATCTATCTTCTGTTGTGGTTTGATTTTCCCACATAAATTCTGGGATATAATATTCAACTCCAGACTTTTCCCCACAATTAAGATGGCCATTATCTTAGTATTTGAACTTTTATTTCTGTGTGACTGTATTTAATTTTCCTGCTATAGCACTCCCTGCAGAACTTCTTGGAGACCTGGTCTGGCGTTGGTAAATTCTTTCAGGTTTTGTTTACCTGAGAATGTTCTTGTCTTTTCTTCCCATATGAAGGATAATCTTGCTGGGTATAGTATTCTTGGTTGAAATTGGTTTTACCTTAACACTTTGAATATATTTTCCCATTCTTTCCTCACTTGTGTTGTTTTTGATGAGAGATCCACTGTCAGTCTAATGGAATATCCTTTGTAGGTAACTTGAAATTTCTCTCTTACCAATCTTAGTATTTTCTCTTTCTCTGTGGTTTTGCTCAATCTGGCTATAATATGTCTTGGAAAAGATCTTCTTGGGTTGATTCTACTGGGAGTCCATTGTATTTCTTGGGACTGGATCTTTGAATGCCTCTCTAGGTTTGGAAAGTTTTCTTGCAAGATTTCATGAAATAGATTGTCAATGCCCTTATGAGTCTCTTCCCCTTCTGGGATACCAATTATCCAGATGTTTAGACATTTGATGGTATCCAGTATTTCTCATATAG